ACACTATTTTGGTACAAACAAAACCCAGATCTGACCCTACAGCCCAGATGGCACCAACTTAACTTCAGGCACTTAATGAAGTGCCTAAATTGAGAGTGTAATGACCACTGGCTTCTCATTCAAAGTAGGGAGAGAAACAGAGGGTTCCAGAAGCTCCAGAAATGTTCACCTCATCCCCTGGAGATGCATCCTTGCCTCCAGAGACTGTAAGATCACTCCCCTACAGTCAGTACACCAGGTGGTCAAGATGAATCCTGGCCTCTACATCCAACTTTAGGAGCACAGGCAGAGTTAGAAGCTGCTTGGATTTACCTGAAAACCTGTCTTCAAGGGCTTACTTGGCATATTAAATTGGCAGATCTTAAAGCAAGGAAGGAAATTACTGCAGTCCTCACTCTGGACTGAAAAACTGAGGAACAAGGAGGGAAGCAATTTCCTCTGTGTCATTCAATTAGCTCAGTGCCAGTGCTGGGGCATGAAGTGGTTTGTCAGGCTTGCAAGCCAGGGAGGTGACTCTGTCACCCCTCTGAAAAGAACAAAATACCACAGGCCTTTTGGTGTAGAACTGACCAAAAAGACAAGTAATGGGTATGAAAGACTCTCAGCATGAGGTTGAAAGAGATGATGAAATGGGATTTTCTCTCTTCTCTATGGTTTCCATTACTTTTTTTTTTTTTTTTTGCTATTTAATATTCATCAGCCCTGTAGTAAAACCTTGGTAATAATAAAGTACATAATGTTTACTGTGAGGTTTGTCCTGGATCTATGTGAACTAAGCCTGAATTTCTTTATTCTCACTGAGCTTTTACCACAGGACTTGTACGTACTAATTAGCCAAGACAAAAATGCATGTATTATTCAAGAGTGAAGGGATATCTTGAGTGACAGCCATCTATCACAGTTCCTCTTTTCTCTGCAACTTCCCCTTCCTGCAGGGTGCAGGGGAACAGACCACCTTCTGCAGTGACAGCCTCTCTGTCCTGCACCCAGGCTCTGTGTCTTGCTACCAGGGCAGCCCTGAGATGATTCTGAGACAAAACAAAGAGGCTAATGAAAGACGTACCCAAACCATTTGCCAGTTACAGTTTAGTAAATCAAGGTGTTTGGGAGCTCTTGTGCATTTAGGAAGGGGTCCCTCTCTGTCTGGTGATACAATCAGGTCCCAATACGAATGTCAACACCGCTGCCCTGATGGGAGCAGACTAAGAAAATTATTCTATAGCACACTGCCTAATATTGCATAACCACAGAGAGCTGCCAAAAATAAGGCACAGACATACAGGTAGCCATCCACCATCTTCTTGGCGTAGTCAGCAGCTTCCTCAAACATCTGGAGGTAAGAGAGCACCTCAGAGGCAATGCTGAGTATCCTCAGGTGGTAGATGTTCGTGTCTCCCAGCACAGGCTCCTGTTTCTTCAGGCACTCGCGGCACAGCTTCACGACCTGTGCCCAGGGGAAGCAGGGAGAGGAAAGGAAAGTCAGAGCACCTTTGGCCCCAAAGTTGCCACACCAGAGCCCTGTAGGTCACACAGTCCACACCAGTCCTAGAAGCCAAGTCAGTCTTCATGATGGTTGAGGAAGATAGGACATGCTTTTATTTGTTGACAAACATCAGTCTAGCAAAATCAGTGCTCAAATCTTCCTCTCCCAGGGTTACATTCATAAAACTGGTAAGGAAAATGTGATGTCTACTGTTCAGGAGAAGAAAGACCCCCGGAGGTTGGGTTTTGTCAGAGACCAAGTGTCTACAGGACTCTTATACCCCCAATGCCACCCAACCTCCTACGAGCACTTGATGCGACGAATGCTCTTAATGACCCCACAGGGCTGGGGACACGCAGCTGCACTGTCCCATGCTTGTCTGCTCGGCTGCATCACAGCTGCACCTAGCCCTGACCCAACATCCAGATCTCTGCTCTGGGGGACTTCAGCATTTTCCCAAAGTAAGTTCAAACCCAGAGGCTGTTGCTCAACCTAGAGTGTTTTCCTGAAGCTGTTATACTCTGAAGAGAACAAAAGCAAAAGATGGAGAAAGGAAGAAGTGACTTAAGGTCTCTCACCCTTTGCCCTTGTGGCCTGTGCTCCAGGTGGCATGTGGATGTCCCATACCACACACCCACCCTCAGCACCCAACAAATGAGCAGCCTGCAGGAGCCAGGACGTGAAGAGGAGATCAACACAGGCAAACATAGCCCACAGCTTGATGCGGCAAGTCTCCTGACTGTCCTGTTCCTCTCCCAAACCTACTGTCCTCCTTTTTATGAGGCTACCTGGCAGAGCTGACAAGTTACACTTGCCCTGTAACTCACATTTTTCACCCAGGAGGCCCTTGGTTCAACACCTGTGTCAATCAGAGGTGCTGGAAGTCACCTGAATTTTCTTGTATCATCACTACAAAATAAATCAGTCTGGGATGTTTTCTCAGACATGGTTGTGCTTTACAGAGGGCAGAAACCAGTGTCAGCTTTCACAATTTGAGCTGCCAACAGGCCAGGAAGCACATGGGGATATTCAGGTTACAGCAATGGGGCTTTGTTTCATCTCTATGTCATTGACGTAGAGAGGGACAAGACCTGCTTTCCCTGGCAGTGCGTACACAGCAAGAGAGCAAAAGTACCAGGACTCACTTCGTGGTAAAGTCCATCCATGCGGGCCTTGTTGATCTTCTCCAGTGTATCCTTGGAGAACTGGATGACATCCTTCACCATCTCTGCAGAGGGCTGGGGACAATGTTAGGAAAACCGGTGAGGAAAATGCACTGCCTGACACATGCCAGAATACCCTGGTTGAAGGGATGCTTGTTCCGCAGTCTGGGAACCCAGATCAGCTCAGCAGATGCTTCCCACATCACTCGCTACCTTCCTACTGCTGGCTGTATACCCCAGCATGCCTCCTCAGACTTGCCTAAGACTGGGCTGAAATGGTCCCGATACCAAATGGAGAGGTGAAGCTCCTGCTGACTTCAGCAAGAGTGTTGCTCATCAGGGTTGTGGCCATGTACATCTGGCATGCATAACTGGGTTCCTTGACTCTTTCCTCCACTTCTCCCCTCTGGAAAAATTGACCCTGCAACTAGCAGGTCTCATGAGATGCCAAAGAGACTGTGAAAGCCACCACTTGGCAAGTATCAGGTGCTTCTAGTGCAGCTGCTTGAGAGAAATGAGGCTCTTGAATGAGAGATGGGTGGAATAAGGATAGGAAAGATCACTAAATTTTACCCACTCTGAGAAATGCTGTCATTAGGTCCAAACACCATAAGATGGTTGACCTCAGATTTCAGCTGCATCCAGAGAGTGAAATGTGTTTTCCCACACACCTCAAAGAAGTTTGGATTTCACCTCGTATTTGAAGGCATGATGCACATCTAGGCATACCTGACAAAACACCAAGCAGCTCCTAATTAGCTGGCTCCTCTCTCTTCATTTAATGCTGAAATATAACATTATGATATCCAGCACCATCATTCATCTTCCACTTTTCTGAGCCTTTCAAATTTGCATTTTCAAACTATTCCAGCTATCATGACCTTTGTTTTCATAAATGGGAAATCTGAAATCAGCCCATAATCACCTGACTCCAGGAACTTGCACGAAGAGCCTGGTCTGGAGACACACGATAAAGCCAGAGCACAGGCATGTGCCCAGCAGTGAGGAAGGACCTCTGGGTGCAGATCAAAAGCAGAGACCCAGCATTGCAACAAAGGTCACAAAGATTTAGAGTCAGGACCGTGGGACTGTCCCATTGGTTTTTTCCCACACCTGGTCAACCAGATTTTTGAGGAATTTGTGAAAGTCAGCTAGTTGGGAAAAGCTCTTGAAAGTTTATTATGGAAGGAAAACCAGTAGCTTCTCAGAGCCACATAGCCCCCATCTGTTTATGGATATGTATGTATGTGTGATGATTTATTATTCTATATTATTAGACTGAAGCTCTCACAGCTAATCAGATTTTGGCAGCTGTTTGAGCAGCACGCGGGGTGTCCTAGAGCATATTCAAAGGCAATGTTAACATCAGTGCAAATCACATCGCTATGCTGTCTGAGTAAAGACTCCCAGAATAGGTGCTTTAAACAGCACTTCCACAGTGGCTTTGTCTAATAAAAATCTCCTAGCTTGCGTTTACTAGACCCCTAAGCCTGTTGCCATTATAAACAATGGGAACTTTGCTACTATTTGGAAGGGGTGAAGGACTGGAGGTCGCAGCGGCTGTTGAGGACGTAAGCTGTCAATCTCCATATATTCATAGCACTTTTTCCACGCAGCTGTGAGTGTTTCCGCTCTCGGGCAAGTGAGCCTGAATTCAGAAAATGTGATACAGCTGGCAGCAAGCAGACGTGCTCTGTGGGTGAGGTCAGTCTGGATACTTATTGTCTGTGGATGGAGTGTATTTTTAATAGCTGAAATCATGCACCTTGCATAGTTACAGGCTTTTTCTATACAAGCACTTCAGATTGTGGAGGACGTTTACGCAAAAGTGCGCGTCTTCCTGCTGCGTGCTGCAGGGGACCTCTAATGCTCATGAAAAGGGGATGGTGCATCTCACTGCTCGGTCAAGGCTTGATAGCAGGTGTTGAATGAGAGCTGAGATTTTTTTATGCCATCCACTGGAGGAGGCGTTTGAAAATACTTCTACAGAAAGTCAGATGAAAATGCTTCTAGAGCATCAGAGGACTGAGCTTTGGGACAGCTTTACATTAGAAGTGGGGAGTTTCAGTAGTCAGGATTAGCTTTAAGATGAAGCTTGATAATTTAGTAATGGGATTATATAGCAAGGTTTTTTGCACTAGTGGGGAACCCAACAAGTAAAGGGTTTCTTCTAGTCCTGTGTCCTACTTCCCATGGGAGCTCCCTGATATCAGTTCAATCCCATTTCTCCAAACCTTGCTCAAGGAGAGACTTTTGCTTTGCCATACCCACCCTTTCCTGACTTCCACCTATATGAAAAAGGGACTGAGCTTGGCTTTCTGGTAACTGTGCTCAGCTGGAGGCTGGGGGTTTTGTACTCGTTCCCAAGAAGGTGCAGCTCCATTGGCCTCTCCTGATGGCAGTGCTGGTCTAAGAGGTCATGGTTCCTCATCCCACATTTGCTGTTTTGTCCTGCCCCATATCAGCCCCTGAGCTGTACTGTCTGGTTCGTTACATGACTGTTCAATAGTGCAGATCAATGACTTGATAATACAGTAAAATGCTCTTTCCCTGCTTTCCCTTATACGTTTTGTAAAGCTTGCAGGAGTAGAAACCCCCTAAGCTAACACTGCCACAAAGGACAAAAAATATGAGCCATTATATCCTTGGGCAGAGGAACCAAAAAGAAACTCTTAGAGCTACCAGCATGCTCATAAACTGGAGCTGCTGGCCAAGAAACACATCCCACCACCAATGGCAAGACACAGCCTTGCACCCTCACACTTGATGACTTATAAGACCTCCAAGGAAAACACAGATTACTTAAAAATGAACAAACATGTTAATTTTTCAGTCAGTCTGCCCACAGCAACCATGCACAAATGTCAAGTGATGGTACAAACTCCCTGTGACAGGCCTTCACAAGGAGGGACTGGAAATTCAGGCTTCCCACCATCCTGGAGCCAACGTGATGGTACACGTTTTACAAACCATACCGCTTCAGCAGCGCTGGTTAGTCCTGACACCACGAGTCACCTGCAATACATTTTCTTTTCTGCTGTTCAAAATTTTGGTTCCCTTTCAGTTCCTCCAAAAAACCACAATCTAAATGCCAGCACGTTTCTCAGCTCTAGACCTAATTTTCCAATATTCTACTATTCTGCCTGTTGATGGACTTTTAGGTTAGAGCTAAAGGCAACTTCAGTGGGCTTTTTAAGATTAAAAACTGCATGTATGTTGCATAATAGGGATGAAACTGGCCTCACTTGGTGGGCTTGAATTGGTGTTGTGCTCAATGAAGGTTCAGTTCTGTTCTCATTTTTTACATTGGCACTAGTCAGGCTTCTGCCAAAATCTGACTCTTGCTATTGTGAGCGTCCCCGGGCTGAGAAGCCGTAGTAGCAGACACACACAGATGCCTTTGGTGGAGGAGACGCAGCTGCCGCTGGGTTTGGACTCAGCAGGACAAACCATACCTTGCCTTCCCCCTCCTTCACCGCCAGCATCAGGTCGTCCTTGATCTGTTTCTTGCAGTGCTCACAGGCACAGTCAAAGTAATACTGCTTCTTCAGCTGCTTCCGCCGCTCCTCGCTCACATTGAGGAAATCCACGTAGGAAACAGTCAGCTCATCCCCTGGAGCAATCTTGCTCAGTGCCCGCAGCTCAATCCTGAGTGCAAAGGAGACGAGATGTGGACTTGGAGAAGCAGCAGAAGCCAAGGTGCAGCCATAGAGCCATCAGGGACAAGTCCTGTGACCTGCCCCTGCCTTGCAGAGGTGAGCCCTTGCCCTAAGGTACTCCTTTAGCTCTTCTGGGAGGCAATGCAGAGATGGGCAGCAGTCTGGTTAACTGAATAGAGTAAGAACACGGTCACACCAGTTTCTCCTGACCCTCTGCAAGTCTCTGGCAGGGATACGTAAGGGTCTGAGCTATAAACAGATTATGGCTCCACTACTTTAGCCAGATGGGGGCTGAACCTAGACATAAACTTTTATTGTGCTGCAGGAGATTTCACCAGAAGAAAACCCTGAAATCAGAAATACGCAACTGGCCTTGCAAAATGCTGAGTTTGGACTTCGGGTCTTTTTTTAAGTACTGCTTTGCATGCTACCCGCACATGGCTAGACTCCCAGATCCCAAGCTGTGCTGCTTTCGGTATCGTTTTCACTCTGAAAGTTAAGGCAAATTCCCTCTGGGTGCTGAGTAAGAGATGCCCTCACCTTGTTCATGCATTTCTACAGAAAGGCTTAGAAACAATTCTCTGGAAAACTTTTTTTTATATAGCCCATTTGATCTGATATTGCTAATATTAAACACAAGGAACCACCGGTCTCTGTTATTAAACCAAAATCCACAGCAAACCCTTAATGACAGGCTTTTGGAAAGCCAGATCTTCGCACCTGCCTTTCTCTCACATCTTTCCCTGCAAAAGGTCTTAAATAACATGGACATTGAAAACTATTCCCTTGCTGTTTCACTCTACAAGCTAAATCTTCCAGTTACTCTGGGCCATCTCTCAGTCATGGGGGCTGGACAGTCACAACTGACTGAAGAATTTGGCCAGAGTGGGAAAAAACTCCATCAAATACCAATTGAAAGGCGGTGCTTCTGCACCCATCTGCTCTCCTATCTACTAGTGATTCTACCCACAGTTAGAAGTAATTCACTTGAGGCTGGTGACACACACAGAGCTAGACATACTTACGGGTTATCAAAATGAAACCAGTCCCATGGTCTGAGCTCCCACCCTACCGCTGCACTCAGTGTGGTACACCAGTCCTGGGACGCCCTCACCGTGGGCAGCATGTGCCTTCATCATCCTCCTGCTGAGCTCAACGGTGTGTTGGATGTACGTACTTGCTACAAGATGGACCTGGGGGGACCTGCTGGCTCCCACCTGAACACAAGGGGCTTTAGATGGGACCCAATGAAGGTCTCACCAAAGGCATAGGTGGCATAGAACCCAAGGGTCTCACTAGGTGCTTTAAAAGTTAAGTCTTTTGGGGAAGACATGACTTTTTCTGACATGACTTTTTCTGTGTGATCATATATCTGCAAAAGGATTTTAATTCCCTTGCAATTCCTTTGTAATTCCTGTTACAAGCTCTCAGCACCAAGGGCCTTTCAGCTGTGCTAAAGCTGCTGTGAAAACTACTCTCCGAGGCTGGTCTTGACCTTCTCTGTCAGATCATATCAACAGCATATTTCATACAAAATTTACCACTAAACATGCCATCATCACGAAGGGCAGCTATTAGTTACATCACAACCATGGAAAAATGCCAACCAGAGAAAGGTGCAACCCGCTACTCAGGAGAAAGTGCATGAAGAAGAGCAATTCCCACCAGAAAGGTTTACACATATAAACATTCCTGTTCAGACTTACTGGGATCCTTGTTAAAAAGTGAGCCATGCAACCAGAGAAGCAAAATCAAGCCTCTGACTTTTATGATGCCCCTGATAGCCTAAGCACCATAGGTATATTTTAAGCAGCCATCCCTTGTGTGGAAGGGATTGATAGCATTTGGGATAAGCCTGGAAACACATGGCATATTTTAAATGCTATAGTTAAAGAGACACTGTCAGCTGAGAGCACCCCACTGAGCTTGTCCCGTGCTCTTTCCCCAGTGTCTGCCCCAAGCACTGAGGACCTTGAAAGATGCATGCACAGGCACAGTGAGTGTCCAATAGCTCAAAACTCAAATTGCCCATTTTTATGGTCCAATCTATAATGCACTGAGTAAGCATCAATGATGAAGAGCAGCACTTCAAAAGTATTTCACGTCTTATATGAAGAAATTGCGTGTTTGCTTGAAATTAAAGTTTAAAGACAACAGTGTCCCTTTAACAGGACTGACTATAATATACCAAGCACAGTGAGCTAAGCAGAGAACTTCTCTTTTTTTTTGCATATATTTCAGTGATTTCTTTAGTTTGGATCAGGTAACAGTGGCATCATTAAAAGGTAAAACATTAATCAGGTATTATGATAAAAAAGGATGAAACCTACATTTCATGGTATTACTGCTGTAGTCAACGCATTCAACGGGCACTGTTTGTTGCAGAAGAAACGTGGACTATTTAGTACGTCAGTAATGCAATCATTTCTCATCTCCTAATACGCAAGGTTTTATTTTGGGCTGTATAAGATTAGTGAGACCTTGTTCTGACTTTCATGCTCTTGCTGTAGTCAGGGGAGGAGAAATGAGAAGTGGAGAGGGGAAATACTGACAGGGAGGAAGCCAAGGGAGAGGGTGGGAAGGCAGGGATGGAATTTACTATTGGGGGAGACAGTCATAGTATTACCACCATTTTAATTTACTACAAAATGCAGAGTTAAGTGAGGTTTGGTTTTAGTGGGGCTTTACATGGGGGAGGAGTTCAGAAAACAGGGAAAGTGACATTTTCTGCAAATAGAAGGAGGCCCTTGAGGCTGTTCGCAGCTTTTCCATTAAACACAGGGCATGAGGGGCACAGGGCAAGGGGAAGAACGATGCTTTCAAGACTGACCCACCTCATCTGTGTGTGGAACATTGATCTTACAGCCTCATGACTGAAAGACAAAACAAACATCTGCAGTTTACACAGGTACAAGCACAACAAAAAAAAAATGGGTACACGGTGTAGAGCATCGGGACATCACCCTGATGGGGGACAAGGGGGTTCCCAGCACCTGGCTCATGTCTGACTGCATGTAGAGCTTTGCTTTTGCTATGCAGCTGCCATAACTGAATCGCCCATCACTGGGCCACAACAGTGGATTTGGGGGAAGCTGTCCTGGCACTGTGATTTTAGGAGCAGTCTCAGCCAGGGGATGAGCAAAACCTGCTTCTGACGTTTGGCAGGTGCAATAGGGTTAGTTGTCTTGCATAAAAATATCTCCACCATCATCAGTAGCTATGCTCTCTAAAACACAGCTTGAAATGGAAATCAGTCTGGGATATCAGCAACAAGGACTGTGCTCTGTGTGATGAGTTTTGTGGGTCCTCAAGTCCAGTATTGTGCCCTGAGCGCTGATAGAGAGCTCAGTTCCCACAACAGGGGCTTATCACCAGGTTTCCACAGAAAGACAAGAAACCTTCATAATTTACCCAGCCAATTGTACAAGATAAGCAGATGGTCAAGGTTTAAAGTCAGTAACAGGGTACACATGGGAACTTCGACAAGCTGCCAGGCAAAATGCCTTTCCTCTACTTACCACCCAGAAACTCAGACTTTGGGGTTGCTGTCACTGCTAGTTACCTCCTCCACTTCCCAGGCTGGTTGGAGAGACTCTCCATCATCCCGCTATGGATCTGATCCAGGGCAACTGGATATCAGAGCACTGACTCCAATCTGACTTTGGATCAGACCCTATTTCCCACCATGGTAACCATCCTAATGCAGTTTCATCTTCTCTTTGCTCGTTTACCAGCTGCTTGATAAATGCTGGTATAGTTTTATCAGGTAAAACCAGCAGTGAGAACTGGAGTGCACAAGCAATGTGTTAGTTAAAGAAGGGGAGGCTGGGGGGATAACTTATAACACTAAAGTTTGGTGAACATGGCAATTTATAAAATCTTAAGACCGAGAGGAAAATTTGGATGAAATACTGTAGCTGTGCCATTTTTGGCAAGCAGTTTCCCACAGTCAATGTCTTGCACACGATGCAACTTGCTGGATCAGCAGCAGTTCATACCTGTTCTGGCCTGGGAGGAGGCTGGGAAGGGCAGAGCATCCCTCCCACGGGGTGCCCCAAGCACTGAGAGCTGCAGCCTCCACTCCCAGCTCTCCTGAAATGTCCCTGCATTTCCCACCTCACCTCTTTTCATCTCACATGTCCCGCAGAAGTTTTCTTACAGCACTTGGGCGGGAATGGGGAATGCACAGTAGCTTAGGGCATCCTGCACTCACACGTGACTCAGTTTGCAGATAACAGTCACAATTGCATTAAGATCCCATTGCTAAAGAGTTAATCAGTGATTAATAGAGACGGTACACTCTCACAAAGATGAAGGTTGTGTTAGGAATGGTTATAAACACATCAGCAGATAGTGATACACAGCTGATTGCAAGCTTCAGTTATGAGAAACTCTTGGGCTGTGGACTCAGTATAATCTTTAGTAATTTATTAACCATAATTGTTCCTTAACTATTTATAAATAAAGCCTCAATATAAGGGGTGATCTAGGCAGCTGCTTAGTACTTCATCTGCCTATTTTGAGTCTGGTTTCAAAACTCACAGGAACCAGGGAAATATTCTTTTTTGGTTTACTGGGTTTGGGGTCAAATCTTGTGTATTTGTTTAGTGCATCAGGCAATCTTTTTAAAAATAACAATAATGAGAGAGAAAACAGCTTCTCTTTAGAAGGAAAATGCTGATTTTTTTTGTTTCCGAGCTAGAGAAGGAAACGAGAATGAATAGATTTTCTGGGGCAGGGATCTGACACTGTGCGGTTAGCAGAGTCTGCTGAGTTGCTCATTAGGATGCATCCCCACTGCGCCCGGGGAAAGAAATATCCACTCACTTGCCATTGTTGAAGATGACAGTACAGTTGGGCCAGCAGTCATGGTTGGCCTGGCAGAGGTTGGGGAAGATTCCCACACCAACAGCCTGCAGTCCTCTTTGGTCACTGAGGGTAAAGCCGTTGCAGCTAATCTAGTCCCAAAACATAGGCAGGAAGAAGTGTTAAGGGAGAAAAAGCTGAACTCAGCTACATTCAGGATTTCTCAGTTCCCACTGATGCTTTAGAAGAGGTATATCTCCAGCATCCCATCTCCAAACTTCAAGGAGAAAGGAGGAGTGCCTACGAGATTATTGCAGAAAGTAATTGTAGAAACAACATCTTTAGCTGGGATAAAACATCAGAAGAGAAGCAATGCAGGTCTCATGCGGATGGACTGACTCAGAGCAAAGCTGAGTAAATGCTGCAGAATATTTGCTGTTAATATTCATTTGGGATGTCTAAGATAAATTTGGTTTGACCATGCATTGGTTTCCTTATATTCGCTTCCTGCAAATAATTCAGAAAAAGGTCACAGAAAAATGAATTTGAGGCAATTCAAGCAGAGCCTAGACAGAAAGCAAAGTTCACGCTTATTAAAACAGGTATCAGTTAGAAATTAACCTTGAGAGCTGCATTCAACCTGGTCACGTTTGCTGGGTGGCCCACAGAGTTTATAAAAACCAATTACTACTGTTTGTTATGAGTCCCAAACAATTTTCAGAATGACTGCTTTCGGGTGACATATGTGCCAAGAATAAATTATTATACTTTTTCTATATGGTACATTATTACCACATATGAATGGAACAGTCTTTAGTCACAAACGCAAACAAAGGAAATACTTGCAAAGAAAAAATGGGACAGGATATACCAAAGGAAGTAATTAACTCAGCTGTTAATTATTTTACTCTGTTAATAGTTTTATTTCCTTTCTTAACTGATTCTGTACTTTATGTGTACTTCCTTACTTCTGCATGGGGAAGTTATGTAGGTCACTAGTACATAGGTCTCCCTGCACCCAGTGGACTGGATTTTCTTTGCGGGGTGGGTACAAAAGGAGGCTGTGTCCTCTCCCTGTGCTAGGGCTGGTGAAGACAACTTCTCCACCACACCAGCCATCAGCAGAGGTGCAAGCAGAGCGTGCGTCTCGGCTCAGCTCGCCCTGGCCCCTTGGACAGTGTTGTTTGCTGCAGGGTTAGCACAGCCCGGGACACACCGACTCGTACCGGGGCTGGAGGCAGAGCAGCTCAGCCTGAACTGGCTTCTGGGATTTTCCCTCTCTGCTACACTGAGAACAAAAATGTGTAGTTAACAAGTTAGTAATGGATATTATTAAATATATTTAGTATATTTTACCTAATT